TCGCCCTGGAAAATTCCAGGAACAGTGCGTCCCGATTGGGTGACAAAATTGCGACGCATATAGTTTCGACTTATGAGACATCTCCCCGTGAGGGAAGGGTCAAACCTGCGGGTCCTGAGACGTTTTCGGGAGGGGGAAACGGAGGCGAGCTCGGCCGGGAGCTGGCTAGATAGAAACATTACGCGACAGATTACACCATAGATTACACTAGAGATGGCTTTACAAGACTTTTTCTCGATCGCGACTTATAGAAACATTGCATTACAGAACTTTGCCATTGATCGCGACTTAGCATTACATTACAGGACTTTGCTACCGATCGCGACGGAGAGAAATATTACATTACTGATCAGGACTTGTAAGATAAAAGACGTGGCTCTTAGCTAAGACTCGGTGGAGTGAGGAACGTTGTTAATTTCGGCTCGTAGGGCTGAACTTTGCCACCGAGCGCGATTTTTCACCGAACCTATGACCGCGCAGACTACGCGTCAATCTGCGTTCGCCGCATAGTGCCGTCTCGGGCCCATTTAAGCCCGCATTACGCCCGCCCGGTGCCCGTGTGTCCTCGAGCTGACTCTGAGCCCCCCGCCTTTGACGACTCCGAGACGAACCACGCCGTCAGCTGAGGAGAATGCCTGAATGGGGAGTCGGTGACCTGACCACCGCCCCGCCGTCGCCGCACCACGCCGCCAGCCCTCGCCAGAGCGGGGGTGAATTACTAGACTAGGGCAGCCATCCAGCCGGTCTGCGGAGGCGCCGACAACCAGCGGTGATAATCCAGTATTTAACCGGAGATGGACTCTCTCCCCTGATTACATCACGGGGTTCCCTCGCTGGGTATTCCGGGGAAAGTTTCAGCGTTGCCGCGCTCAGGCAGTTTTTTATTACTTAATAATGCATGAATTATTGTAGACAAAACCCCAATGTTAGTGTTAAGATGTCTCTTCCTAGATATTAGAACCATGAGCTCACTGCGTAAAGTTGGTAGGCAGTCTTTGTCGCTCTCTTGCAACGTGTAACTTCCCTGGCAACAAATGTTTTCAGGAATAAATTAATTTTTGCCCAATTAATGAAACGATTCAATCTATATTTTTATAACCTCCCTTCTCTTCCATCCATTAATTATAGGAATGAACCAGCGACCCGACTGAGATAACAATATATGTACTACGTATACGGGAAAGTTAAAATATTGAATAGAGACATTCTTCAATTTAGAGAAAAACATCTTTCACAGAATTTTATTTTTTAATAAATATAAATATTGTTAATTTTTTATGTACAGTAGATCCTCGTTAACACAAACTTGCTTAACACGAAATTCGTCGTAAAACGAACAAAAATTCGATTCCGCCAAAGAAACGTAAAATCAGTATTTGTATAAAAATCGGATAACACGAATTTTTATAACAAGAACATCGATTGTTTCAGTGCTTTGGAGTTTATGTTAATGAGGGTTGACTGTCTTATTAATTTGAGAATTAAGTTTCCTCCCATAATGTTTGATGGGTTCCCCCAGCATTTCAAAAAAAAAAAA